AGCCAGTTCTAGAAAGATGAAGCCCAAATGGCCAACAGACATGGACAAGGTTCAACCTCATCAGCCATCAGAGAAATGCCAGTCCAAGCTACAATGAGATTCTGTCTCACCACAGTGGAAATGACAGTAAGAAATAGCAGCAGCCGGGGGAGGTGGCAAATGGCTGTGATCCCAGCACCTGGGTGGCAGAGGCTCTGTGTGAGCTCGAGGCCAGCCTGGCCTACAGGGCGAGTCCAGGATAGCCAGGGCTAGACAGAGAAACCCTGTCTCAAAATCCCAAAAATTAATATTTAAAAGTGAATAAAAGAAAAGAAAGCGGCAGAAGATCGGGTAGAGAGTTGGCCTGGTGGCTGAGAGTTCCTGCTGCTCTTTTTCCTTTCAATGTTTAATTTGCCGATCTGCACCTACATTTCATGTCAGAATGAGGGCACCAGATCACCATAGAGTGTGCGCCGCCGTGCTGGGACGTGAACTCGGGTCCTCTGGAGGAGCAGCCAGCCCTCCTAACCTCTGAGCCACCTCTCCAGCCAGCTCCTGCCGCTCTGCAGAGGACTCCGGGCCTCCTCCCAGGGTGCAGGTCAGGTGGCTCGGGGGACACCTCCGGTCTCTGAGGGCGGCTGCACTCGAGCGCCACACATCCACAGAGCTGAAAAGAAAACCCCAGATGCAGACACGGAAAGGCCACTGCCGAGCCAACACCTGAAGTCAGCGTGGACCCCGTGCGCACACTGAAGACACAGGACCGCGGGGCCCAGCTGCAGCGTCCTGGACGCTAACCCACAGCCCCCTCGGCGGGGCCGCTTACTCCTGTGTCTGTGCGAACACGACTGACTCCGCTGTGAAATCAACTTCGGCGGCTCTGAACAGAGAAACGGATGGAAGCGGATCGCGCAGTGCGTGTTTATCGTTTAAACAAATGTAAGCCGCCTCAGAAAGGCAAGCCTCACATCTTTCCATGAAGTGGATTTCACACAGATGTTAAGAAAACCCGCGTAAGGACAGAGTGTAAGGAGCAGCAGGGGAAGGGAAGGCGCCGCGCTGCTCTGCCCGCGTCCCTGTGGACGCTAGAGGGCGCCCGCCACCGGCCAGCTGGGGGAACGGGGTGCGCGCCCCGCGCCCGCGCCCATCACCCGGCACCCCGAGCCCCGCTAGGGGTCGGAGAGAGGCACCGCCCTCGACCTGGAGAACGCGCTGAGCGGGTCGCCGGGGTGGCGGGGTCTGAGCGGTACCGCCAAGGATGCGCAAAGCCAGTTCCTGGTGGAGGCTGGGCGGCCTGCCAGGCGCTGCGCGGCGCAGGTTCGGGCCTCAGCCTCACCCCCTCGGGCTGACCTGAGCGGGACCTTCGCCGGGACGGAGGGGCTCGCTGCGCCCCGCGGCCCCCCTCCGCCTTCCTCTGCCGCCGGCTCCCGGCCAGCAGCACGGGCGAACCCCGCGCTCTGCTCTCCGCCGCGCGGGCTGGGACCGGGAGCCTCTGCGGGGAGCTGCGGGAGTCACAGCCCTGCGCACGGGCACGGGGGATCCAGCCAGGGCGGCCGCCGTGGTCTCTCGTGCTTTCCGCGCCGGCGTCTTTCAGAGGCGAGCCCGAGGCTACAGCCTGGCCCGCGGAGTTTGCAGGTTCTGAGCTACGCGGATCAGCTGTGGCCGGTGGCCGGGCCGTCTCCCGACGCTGGGTCCTGACTCTTGTGGGTTAAAAAACTTATTTTTTAATGGACATTCTATGTGTGAGGGTCTTGGAGACAGAGACAGGGAGCCGCCATATGGTGCTGGGAACTGAACCCCCGGCCTCTGGGAGAGCAGCCACTTCTCCTAACCTGAGCGTCTCCCCGCCCCCCTCCAGCTGACGTCTCAGGGCGGTAAGGCAACCGTCTACAGCTCTGCTGTTTCAGTGGCTCGGCTCCCGGACGGCCCCACACCTAAACCAGGAACCTCTGGGCTGGAGAGCCCACCAGCTGAGGGCGCTGCCCTCGCCCGCAAGCACCAGCCCCCCAGGTAACAACCGCTGGTAGTTCCAGTTCCCAGAGCTCCCACCCTCCCAACCCCCACACGTGCAAGCACTGGAAAGAGAACACCTTATTAAAGAGAAAGACTCAGGAAGCAACGCAGAGGAGTGAACAGCAAGGTCACACGCGAGCAGCGGGGCAGAGAGGTGAAGCAAGGTGGGAGTGGCCCCGGTAGAGTCGCAGAGACCATGAGCAAACACATCGAAGATTAGAGCACACAGGAAAGGGTGTCGGGGACTGCAGAGACATAATCTGTTTGCTCAGATGCTGGGGAATGGAGAGGACAAGGCTGGCACCTTCAGGGGCCTTAACCGGGGCTGGAGGGCCTGACGTCTACTCTGTTTCTTGAGAGGAGTCTGGAGTCAGTTCCTGACCTGTCTTTGGCAGGATTGTCCTTCCATAGAATCCTGACTGCTGGCCACAGCCACAGGGGATGGCTGACACCCAGGGAAGCTGAGGGGGAGAGAGCCAGATGAGGAGGTTTCCTGAAGCGCCCACGTGACACAAGGATGGACGGGAGCTTAGAGGACACACAGGCGAAGACTACAGCTTCCTCCACGTGACAGAAGGATGGACGGGGAGGTCGGAGGACACACAGCCAACTGCTCCGACTACAGCTTCCTCCCGGCAACACTCCAGATGAAACCTCGGCCTTCATCCTCTTCCAGGCTTGTGAAGCACAAAAGCTTGCACCACTGCTCAAGTGACGGTCAGGGGCCTTTTCTTTGGCTGAGCAGCGATGGTCTAAGGAACCTGGAGCACTGAGCATGGAGCCCACTGGTGCTTGCCTACCACGCACGCACGCCAAAGCCCTGAGCTGGATTTCCAGCTGGCACACGCTGGGGTGTAGTGGCTTGTGACTGGGAGTGGGGGCAGGAGGCACGTGTTCAAGGTCGTTCCCAGCCACAACTGGAGTTCATGGTCAGTCTCGGCTATTTGAGATGCGTATTTTAAGAAATAAATAATAAAGGAAAGAAAGTGCCTATGTGTGAGCTGGAGGGAAGGACTGGTTATCTGGGAAAACCAACAAGAACCCAAACTGACCGAGTCCTGAAGCAGGCCAGGCGTGCTGGATGGAATACCTTTCATCCCAGCACGGGGAGACACCTGGAGCTCTGAGAGCAGGGTCAGCCTGGTCCACAGAGCCTGTCTCAAACAGAACAAGGGGCTTCTGAGAGTACAATCTGAAGGGGGGCTCAGTGTGGACCTCACAGGGCACGCTCGACTTCAGGGAGGTCTCATCGGCCTCGAGTGTGTAAGACTCCTTTGGGGAGCTGAGGCGTGCTGACGTGTAGCTTGTGTTTTGGAGCAGGGAGTCTCTGGGCACCCGGGCTGTCCTGGACTCTGCAGTCCAGGCTGGCAGGGAACCCGACTGGAAGTAAAATAAGGAGCCTAAAACCAGACGTTAAGGTGGGGTGGACACAGCTCACTCAGAGCCCGAGCAAACGACAGCCAGGAGCGAGAGCACTCACTGCGCCTGTACCCGGGGGCCAGCAGCCTCTCCGGCGGGGCTCTGCCGCAGCGGGCGCAGCTACTGGCAATGCCGTGGCCTGCGGCGAGCCGCTGTCTTCAGAGCTGCTGCCACGGTCCCGAACACGCCTGCTCTGCAGAGCTGGCCCACCTTCGCAGAGACAGGGCTAAATTCTCCACATTCCAATCTGGGTAGTGCACTAAGAGGCAGTGTGCAGGGGTCTGAGAGTAAGCGGAAGATCTGCCCACCCACAGCACAGCGGCTCCCAGAGCAGCCCTGGACTCGGCTCCAGACCTCACAGGGGCAGGAAACCACCTACACGCCTGCGTGCCCACTCCTCTCTTTAAAGAATGGGACCAAAATGTCTCCACTCCGTAATCCACCAAAAGCCACTCAACTGAACGCCGAACACCACAACTTCTGAAATGTAAGCTGTACTTAAAGCTATTTTCAGAAGGTGTGCCCACATCCCAGAGCCACCGTGGGAGTGAATGCAAGCTGACAGGACAGCCTGGAACACAGTTAATAAGAAATACTGATGATCAAAAGCCTGGCGTGCAGGCAGGGTTGGTAATCCCGAGCACTGCCGGTCTGCCTGGGCTACAATGAGTGAGGCCAGCCTGGACAGCTCTCTGAAGGCAGGCCAGGCAGCTTGAGTGGGGAGTCCTTGGCTGGTGTACCCCGTGCCTACAGTGGTTAAACACTGAAAAAGGGTAGTGGTTAGTCTATGTTCCTAAAGGCTGGCTGAAACTTGAATCACTTCATTGAGCAGCCCTGACCCTGCAGATGAGGAAGCTGGAGGCCGGGATCTGAAGGGCCTTCCTGGAGGGTGGCTCTCTGCGGGAGCCTGGGCTCTGTGCCCACTGCCCACTTCAAACGTGGGAACATGGGGAGAACACGGAAGACATGCAGAGGTGAAGAGTCCTGTGACCAGCAGACAAGCCAAGACAACTGTCCCCTCTCCACCTACAACCCTGTGCCTGGCTGGGTGGGGCCCGGCCAGGCCTGGTGGTTGGGCGATCCAGCTCATCACCTCGGCCAGTGTCTGCAGAGAGGCCACACAGGCCGGCTCACCACATCCTGCCGGCAGCAGGGCAGGAACGGGGACCCAGCGCCCGGCCCTGCAGCGTGCAGCTGAGGAGCCTCTCCCAGGCCTATGCCTGCCCCTCAATGGTCTGTCCCTCTTCCCCGAGGTTCAGGCTTTCGCTCGCTGTCGCTGTCCTGTGAACTGCTTCCTTCTCACGGAACCCCTTCAGACACACACTGACATGAAAAGACACAAGCCTCCCGCTGTCAGCACGCTGCCACATTCATTAGGGCTGGAAAATCTGAGGCTTAGAAAGAGGAGGAGGAGGGGGCTTCCTACAGCGCCCCAAGCATGGGCGGCAGGCAGGAGCCCAGGCCACGATGCCCAGCATGGTGGGGACCGTGTGGATCCTATCCCCACTTTTCACAGAAAAACAACTTAGGCCACACGTGTGCACACCCCTGTGGAGAGGAGGAGGAAGGAAAGGACAGAGAAACAGGCCTGAAACACTCCTGTGATTTAATTCGTGCACTGACACTCAGTAAGCGCTCCATAGCCGGCGCCAGCACGCCGGCCACCCTCCCGAAAAGCTCGAGCAGAGGGCGTGAGCAGCCTGGCACCCCTCACTCCGAGCAGTGGGCGCTCTGGTGGCGGAGGAGGTGCGAGCTGCGGGTGAAGGTCTTGCGGCACCGCTGGCACTCGTAGGGCTTCTCCCCGGTGTGGCTCCTGCGGTGGACGGCGAGCTGCGAGTGCTGGGTGAACGACCTCTCGCACTCGCCACACTCGTACGGCTTCTCCCCCACGTGAACCTTCTGGTGAAGCAGCAGCTCGGAGGTGTCCCAGAAGGTCCTTGCGCAGGCGTCGCACTGATGGGGCCTCTCTCCGGCGTGGACCCTCTGGTGGACGATGAGGTGGGAGGTCCGCCGGAAGGCCTTGCCGCACTCGAAGCACTCGTAGGGCCTCTCCCCGGTGTGGATCCTCTGGTGCCGCAGGAGCTCCGAGTTGCCCCGGAAGGCCTTGCCGCACTCGAAGCACTCGTAGGGCCTCTCCCCGGTGTGGATCCTCTGGTGCCGCAGGAGCTCCGAGTTGCTCCGGAAGGCCTTCCCGCACTCCCTGCAGGCGTAGGGCTTCTCCCCGGTGTGGATCCTGGTGTGCCTGACGACCTCTGAGTTCTGCCCGAAGCCCTTCCCGCACTGGCCGCACCGGTAGGGCCTCTCCCCGGTGTGGATCCTCTGGTGTCGGATGAGGCTGGATCTGTGCTTGAAGGCCTTGCCGCACTCGCCGCATTCGCCGCACTCGCGGTACCTCTCCTCCGTGTGGATCCTCTGGTGGTGGATGAGCTGCGAGCTGACGCGGAAGGTCTTGCCGCACTCGCCGCAGGCGTACGGCCTCTCCCCGGTGTGCACGCGCTGGTGCAGCATCAGGGCCGAGTTCTGGCTGAAGGCCTTCCCGCAGTCGGGGCAGCTGTACGGCCGCTCCCCGGTGTGCACCCTGTGGTGGTGGACCAGGTGTGAGCTCTGGATGAAGGCCTTCCCGCACTCGCTACAGGCGAAGGGCTTCTCCCCGGCGTGGATCCTCTGGTGCCTCCGGAGGCTGGAGTTGGTTCCGAAAGTCTTTCCACACTCCTTGCACTCGAAGGGCTTTTCTCCACTGTGCACCCTCATGTGCTGGATGAGATGCGAGTTGTGGTTAAAGGCCTTCCCACATTCTTTACATGTGTGGGGCCTTTCTCCCCCAGGCGGCCCCTGCGCTTTAGCGAGCTTTAGCTCGCCCCCGGCCGCAGGGCTCTCCGCTGAGGCAGCTCCCGGGCACATGACCACGCTTGGCTCAGGACCCGAGCCTCTGGCACGCGCACTCTGCTTCTGGCCTCTCTCACCTAAGGATGGCTCCCTGGGGACAATCAAGCCTGATCCGAGCTCTTTCTCCTGGGGACACATCTGCTCTGTAATCCCTCCCGAGGACCCGCTCGAACGGCCTTCTGACACGTCTCCTTCAGTTGCTCCACGGTCACGGCCTCTGTACACCGCCTGTGCAAGCTTTCCTGTCAGCCCAGGCGGCGAAGACTCTTCACAGGCTTCTTCCTTGGGAAGCAGCTCCGTCTCCTCAGTCCCCATATCACTACCTGAAACAAGAGAGGGTGAGCACGTGAAGTTGCTGTGTCCCCGCTAAGTGATGCTACGGTGGGATACAGGGCCTTGATAGCTCTGTTGGGGCTCAAAGGCTGACAGGCTGCTGCCCGTGTGGTGGACGTGCTGAAGAGCTGAGCCTGGCTTAGGAGCAAGAAAAACCATCAGAGGCAGAGTGTTAGACAGGAAGAGTACGGTACAGAGATACTGGCAAAAGCTATGACACTGTGTCCCCAACAGTGAGGGTGGGGACACTCAAACGGTAAAGAAGCAGAGATGTCAATGAAAGACTCCCGGTAGAGTCTCTCTAGACGGGGAGACCCCGCTTCCCAAGGAACAGCGAAACCAGCCTTCGGATGCAAGCCGCAAGAGGTTTATTTTGATACACGGGTACCCGGGGTGACAAAGCCTTTCGGGAAGACTTGCGCCCTCTGGGTGGAAAGCTGGGTTTTTATAGGGTTTTAGAGCAGAAGCGCGGGTACAGAAGCGAGAAGCATGGTTACAGGGAGCTGACTGGTACATTTACATGAGACCACAATTTGAGTCAGAGTTTGGCAGGGACACCAGGATACCAGGAACTGGGTGGTCGAGACGGTCATGATGACCCCTTAACTTGGCCCGCCACATGTTGTTTTTCTTAGGACCCTTATCTCAACTGGAACAGTCTCACAGATATCCCATGAGGGTGATTAACACAAGTTGTTTTTAGCTCGACTGGGGCAGCCTGACCGCAGATATGACACAGCTGGGTTTCTCAGTAATTTTCCAGTTCCCCACCTAGCCTACAGAGTTTCTCAAAACAGTGGTGTCCCACAAAATGGCGTTAGCTATGTTTAACTTAGGGTGAGGCGGGGGTCTTTCAGTCAACGGCACATGGAAAAAGGGTCAGGACAAAGCAGTGAAAAGGTAACAGAAATAGTGTTTGAGATGAGACAGCCACACAGCATTTAGCAGGAGGACCTGGTCTCGGTTCAGCTCTGTATCACTAAGCAGCACGGTGCTGTGCATTTGAGTGGTAATTACTTTGCCTCCTGAGGTCTGCTGGCTGTCGTACACACCCAGCAAGGGCAGAGTGGGGGGGGGGGGGGTATGGCCAAAGCTCTGAGCTTTGAGAGAAGGACCACAGGAAGGGAGAGACGGGAGAAAGAAGGAAGCAGAGCCCCGTGGGCCGCACATGGGCCGGGAGGAGGAGCTCTGAGAATGCCGTGGAGAGGCCCCAATGGAAAGCATGTGCAAGTGTTTATGGGGCTATTCGACGGGAAGTAGCCCAGACAAGAGCAGTTAAAGCAAGCGTCCTGGGCTGCGGCGCTGAGAGGTAAGGAGGTAGCTTAGGGGTTAGTATCTGCCCAGCCCCCCCCCCCCCCCCCCCCGGCGAAACAAGGCTTATTTAATACAGCAGTTGTCTGTGTCTTTTACTGTTTCATACTGGTTACATAAAACCACCATAAAAATTACAGGCTTTTAATAATTAACATTATTAGCCATTTTTATTTACAATTACCCAGCAGGCCTGCAGAGCAGGGTGAGTGTAGAGGAATTACCTCCTCAGGGGGCTGACAGGACCTAGCTGCAGTCAGCACAGCCTCTTTCACCTGGACGTGGTGAGGGGCAGTTTGCTCTACAGCACAGGATCTGCCCTATGGAGAGAGCCAGCTTAGGATGGGCTCCACACTGCTTGCCAGCTGAGCCAAGGCCAGGCTGTTGTCATTTGGAACTCACTCTGTGGCAGACAGTGGATTTCCAGGCCTGCTGCATTAGTTGGAAGTAGACTTGACTTCATATAATAACGTATGGATATTTTTTGAGACAGAGTCTATGTCCAGGGTCAAACTCAGGGTTTTCCTACTTCTGCCTTAGAGTACTGGGATTACAGATGTGCAACACTGTGCCTGAATAGAATTTATTTTTGAAACAAGGTCTCTCTACGTAGTCCTGGTTGGCTGTCTTGGAACTCCCTGTGGAGATGAGGCTGACCTTGAATTCTGAGCCCCTGCCTTCTGAGTGATAAGATTAGAGATAAGTGCCAGAATGCCTGGAAATATAAGTTTTTAAAGAACCACAATGTCTTAACCAAGACACTGTCTTATTTCTGTAGTGTTTAAAAGGGGCTGGCATTCTGGGCTGGCACAACAGGGAAGTCGGGGCCCCTGGCTGAGAGCGATCACTGGTAATGCTCCAGCCCTACGCTCTCTCCAGGAACAGTAATTTCCCAATCATTCCACGCACTTTCCTTTGCGTGTCACTATTTCACTACTGAGTGTCTGGTCAAAAGGCTAAATGTGTAAAGAAAACCGAAGAACACACGCAAACACTAACTAAATCTAAAGGTGGGCAATGAGCAGGTATGAACTTCACCTTTTACAAAAGCAGACAGATCTCTGCATTCTGAGTTCAAGCCAGCCTGGTCTACAGAGTTCCAGGACAGCCAGGGCTACACAGGGAAACTCTATCTCAAAAAAAAAAAACAAAAACAAACAAAAAAGGACTTTTTTTGTTTGTGGTGATGGTACACACCTGTAATCCCAGCACTTAAGGAGGCAGGCAGGGATCTCTGTGAGTTCAAGGCCAGCCTCCTCACAGAGCAAGTTCCAAGACAAACAAACAAAACAAAATGGCCAGTGGTGGCACACATCTCTAGTCCCAGCACTCAGGGGGCAGAGGCAGGTGGATCTCTGAGAGTCTGAGGTCATCCTGGTCTACAGAGTGAGTTCCAGGACAACCAAGGATATGCACAAAGAAATCTTGTCTCAAACAAACAAACAAACAAACAAAAATCTTTACCCCCACCCCCCCAAAAAAAAAGCAGTGGAATGATCTGAGGCTGAGGAGTGGTGCGGCGTCTGTCCCCACAAGAGTGTCAGGCAGTGCTCACCAGGGGCACTTCAGCCCTGAGCTGGAGAACAGTGACCGGGCTGGTGCAGTCATTAGACCAGAGGGGATGGGTCCCAGACAGCAGTGCTACTGGGAAGAAAGGGAAGTAGGCTGCAGGAGTGTTTACAGGGTCGAATTCTGTAACACTCAGTGGCTGATAATACAGTGTGAACTAGAGCTGAGCTGGAGAGCCGGCTCAGTGGTTAGGAGCACTGGCTGCTGTTCTTGCAAAGGCCCGGGTTCAGCTCCCAGCACCCCAGGATGGCGCTCAGCCATCTGTGACTGCAGTTCCAGCGTGTCTGATCACCCTTTCTCTGGTCCCCTTGGGCACAGGCACTCATACTTGTGAAGAAGAGGGGTGGAGGTCAGAGGACCCTCCATTTGGGGCGGGGCTGAGAGAGCACCTACACTGCCGTAGGGAGGCCACTGTAAGCGAAGTGTAGCCGAGGGACTGTCTGCGGTTCTGAGATCTCCAAGGAGGGTCAGTGTTCACACTCATCTAATAGCTTAAATCAGTCAAGACCAACACACCTTTGAGAGAACACAGTGTGAGAACTGTCAGAGCCTGAGGACAGAAATCTAGAATCCAGCTTTAATGGTAAAAGCAGCTATCATCAATTCCAGCTCCCCACCCTTCAGCACCTTTCTTTCTCCACCCTCGCTCTGGCCAACAACATTAGTCTGTATGACATACAATGGCCCCTGGCTTCCAGCTGCTCCTACCAATGAGGAGCCGGGAGAGAGGGCGGAGGGGGTTTATGTTCCTGGTTCCTTCCTGGGACGCTGCCTTGGGCGCTGGTGTCCCAGTTAACTGACTTTTAATTAAGTCTCTCAAGGGGTCTAGTCTACCCAATTCCTCACACTTTGTCCTGTCACATCCAATTAACCTCTTGGCAGCTAAATCTTCCTCAAATTAAGCTACCTGAGTAGGTTATATTTTTCTTCCTCATCCTCTGAGAATGAAGGGGTAGGTGGGAAAGAGAAATCTGCCACCATGCAAAAAGAAACGCTTCAGGAAGATCCCCAACAATAGTGCTTCGGAAGAACCAAAGCGGTGGCAGGAACTGAAAGGCATCCGGTGTTGCCAGGTGGCAAATGCCAGGAAACCCGGTTCCTCTGAAAGCCGAGGTAGGAAAACTGTGAACTGGAGGTTAGCCTGGGCAACTTAACAGACCCATGCCCTCATTTCAAACACCCCAACTGGGATGCAGCCAGGGTCACAATGAAAGACTCCCGGTAGAGTCTCTCTAGACGGGGAGACCCCACTTCCCAAGGAACAGCGAAACCAGCCTTCGGATGCAAGCCGCAAGAGGTTTATTTTGATACACGGGTACCCGGGGCGACAAAGCCTTTCGGAAGACTTGCGCCCTCTGGGTGGAAAGCTGGGTTTTTATAGGGTTTTAGAGCAGAAGCGCGGGTACAGAACTAACAGTGGATCTAATTGTCTTTTCTCTAGCTGTAAAGCTGTCGTAAGCTTAGCATAGCCATCAAGGTGTTCAGAGACCTGAGAAGGATAAGTTATGAGCTAAATAAATATACCAATCTATGTGTCAATCAAAATGACAGAGATGACTACTTAGTCCATCACCTAGGCAGTGTCCCTCGCTCCTGTCTCTCACGGCATCCTGAACAGAGGCTGTCCAGCCAGGCACAGAAGTTGAGAGACTGCTTTTACTGCTTCTGTGGAAAGAGGAACAGAAGAGACTGACCTCACCTTGCCTCTCACAATGTGAGACAATGGCTCCTCAGATGTCCCCGGCTTTGTCCACAGCTTAGGCTGGGCCCTAGCAATGGGCCAGTTGAGGCAATATTGCCCAGTGGTTAGCATACCACAATCCAGAGTCGCAGTCATCTGTCGTTGTGCCCAAATCTTCTCAGAGACCTTGGGGGAGCTACTGCCAGGATTTTAGGACTTTCTGTCACAATAAGCTTACACAGTTAAAATGCCATATTCATCAGATCTCTGACAAGCCTGAGGGCCAGCATATCTGAGTTACTCTTTGTCTATCTGTTCTAAACTGTGTAAAAGAAAAACTAAACAAAGACACTAGGTATAGCCAACTGCAGTTGTTAGTATAACTTTAAATCTGCTCTTTCTGAACTAAAATTAAAGCAAATCTTTTAA